GGCGTTCTCAGCTCACTCTGGTTTTTAGGGTCACTGGCTTCCGTGAAGTCTGAGAACAGTTCTCCAGTGTTTGGCAAAAGGCCATCTCTTGTTCGTTTGCTACCTGCTGAGTATACTGTCTGGTCCATTTAAGAAAAAAGTACACACACACACACCCACACGCCCTCTGTGCAAGGAGTTATGCTCACACTCTGAGGGGAGCCTGTCCAGCTCAGAACCCCTGCTTCACATTCATCAGCAGAAGCATTAGGTGGCTGGGGGGATGGCACGCGGGGTGAAGGGTGAGCATAAGTGGAAGGGGCCCAGAGAGACGAGGACAGACCTTAGCATCCGTGTGCTTCCATTTCTGCCCCTGCTTGGCACTCAGCAGCTGTCTGGCCATGGGTCAGCTGCTTCACCTCTTTGAACCTCACTTTTCTCATGGGGATTATGACATCTCTCCTGCTTACCTGGGAGCTGTTTAAGGATAATAAAAATTAAGCACGTGAGAGCTTAGGCCAGAGGCTGTCTGTGAAACGGGCAGTGTGGCAGGCTGTAAGGGCTGGCTCCCGCCCGCTCCTGCAGCTTGCTCAGCGGGCCTGGTGTGCAGTGGTTAGGCAGCAGGCAGAGCCCGGGGTGGCAGCTGCAGCAATCTGGGGGGAGGTGGGGGAGGGGCAGCCACCATCCCTGCCTCTGGGTGGTGTGGCGGATGCTCAGTGGGCCTGGCACGGGTCAGGCAGGGAGGGGGCAGCCACCATCCCTGCCTCTGGGTGGTGTGGCGGATGCTCGGTGGGCCTGGCACGGGTCAGGCAAAAGTTCATGCCACCAGGAGCTGAGCTCTTTGTCCTTGGAACCTCACGCCCCTCCCCCCTCCTCAGGGACCCTGTCACTTGAGGAAATTCCAAAGGTCTTTTTCCTTATGACTGTTTTTTTCAGTATTTTACTGTTGAATGTCAGGGGAGACTGGGGCAGAGACCTGCAGCAGTCCCCAAGGCCCGGTGGTGACAGTGAACTCTCCAGGGCCATGTTCCACCGCAGGATGCATGGCCGGGAGGGCCCCGGGACTGGAGCAGGATCACAGGGCAGAGAACGCCGTTCCTATCCCATAATTTATTTTTTAGCTGACTCCGTGTGCGTGTGTGTGTGTGTGTGTGCACGCGCGCGTGCGCGTGCAGCACATTTGCCCACGTTGCTGGAGAAGTCCCGGAACTCCTGTGCTAATCTGTGCCTTTCTGCAGTGGAGGGGAACAATGGTTGAGGGTCAGAGTGGCTTTAGAACAAGAGCTGCGGTGGCACTGAGGGCAGTCACTTTGATGACAGCACCGTGGGCATCTGTCTTGTTTCCTGCTGCCCCTCGGGAAGCGGACCTTGGCAGCCATCTTAGTAACCCTGCCAGTCCTGCCCCCCAAAACCAGCAGTGCAAATGGCCTGTGGCAGCTGGAACAACACAGTCCTCAACCCACATCCCTGGGAGGTTCCCGGGGAGGGAGGAGCTTTTCACAAACGTAAAACAAACATCTGTACTGTTGGCACAGATCATTTCCACCTCATAGATTTATTTTTTTAGATATAGCCCTGTCCCGGGCCCATAGCTCGTTATGCCATGAAACCAGACCTCGACCTCCAGTTCACCCTCAGAGCCACAGATACTATGTGACAGCGCTCATGAGAGGGTCTTCTGTGAAAACCGAATTTTTTTTAATGTGGTGATAGTTTGTATCAGAGGCGCACAAAGGAAAAAATGACTTAGGAGATGGAAAGAGAATGAAGCAAAATTTTTTGCTTCCTCTAAAATTTTCTCTCTCAACTGTGGTTCCCAAACTCATGGATCATCTAAAGTCTATTTCATATCTTTGCATAAATCTGAAAATGACACAAACACTACTCCTGAAAACTTAAACTTTTTTATGTATTTTGTTCTGATGAACAAAAATCTAACTTAAAAAAAAAGTGTTGATAAATGAGATCGTCGCTTCTTGTCTAGATTTTGTTCCACGTGCGTAGTTTACACAAGATATTTTCCCCAGTATTTTTTCCCCCGTACTTTTTTAAAACTATGCTTCTCCTAGCCCTGCTCAAGGTCTAGTCACCAGTGGCACAGGCTGATGAAGAAAATATGTGTTCTCTTCTGTGACATAGTCACCCATGGATAACTCTAACATTTAACAAGATTTGGCTGCCTGGATCTTTCTAGAAGCATTGGACATCACATTGTTTTGAATATGAAGCAAGATCCCCAATGGAAACTCATGAGACTAATTAACTTATAGGAATAATACAGGAACTCATAGGACTCATCAACTCAGAGGATTAACATAGGCACTCATGTGTTTCATTAGCGCTGTGCCATTAATGAGTTGGATTAGTAGTGTTGACCATTTGTGGCAAATTATTTTCTCTTGAACTATGTAAATGAGCATATCTGCCATTTCCATAATTGCTTGGTGGACCTTGATTTTTATCGAGGCCGGACCTGGAAATCGAGAGCTCGCCTGATAACCCGGAACCAAACTGAGATCAGTTCAGCATAACCCCAGTGCAAGTGGCCACAGTCACAACGCCAGGCGCAAGGAGAAGTTGTACATAGTTAGTCTGTTGGCTATGCTATTGGGCACAAAACAAAAAATCTTGCTAAGTATTACTTTGCGTAGCGGGGAAGACATTCGTAGAACCATTACGCGGTATTCTTAGTCGCTTTTAAGAATGAGGCGCTGGGTGAATGGTTAGGTCACTCCAGCTAATGTACAAATGATGTTCCGTTTGCTTCGATTCAGAACACTGGAACCGGCTGTCTGGCCGTTCAGAATATCCATCTCTAATGCCTGTTTACCGTGTCATTGAAACTCACACTAACTCATGACATTAGATTTTTACTTTTATGTCTTAGCCTAGCTGGGGATTTTCCAGTCTCATAGAATTAGTCTATAGCAGAGGAAAAATGCCGGGAAGTAACTGGCTTACATAACCACAGAGCCCCTCACTAGCCTGATGGGACCCCCCCAATAAGAGCTAGGATGTGGCTCACTGTCAGAAACGGACAGTATAGTTGTCACATGGTCCACAGCCCTAGTTCCCAAACTTATCAGCTTCTAATTGATGTAAAAACAAAACTTGAAACACTAAGTGTTGACCACCAGCATGCATCGCTCTGAGAGCATTTCTTGAGATTGATCAGTTTAGCGAGAGGATGTCTTGAAATGGATTGATCTAGCAAGAAGGAAGCAACAGAGACCGGGGAAAGCAGAGTCAGGGTTTGTGGAGCGGCAGACGCAGACATGTAAAAAAATCAGAATCGAAACCAGGAATCAGTTACTACTTGGCTCAGTGAAGGCCAGGAAAGGCCATCTTTTCAGCCTCACAGTGGAAAGGCTTTCTGGAGGATCGTTATACATATCCCATAAGAGTGTTTGCTATATTTTTGCTCTGACCTTTAGCTCTCACCAGAGAATATATACTTTTGGACTTAAGGGGCAAAAAGAAATAGATGAAAAAGAACACCGTAAAACGTTCGAGATTTCTGGCTGGCAGGCTCACACATGGCATGTTTTCACTTTGAGGTTTTGAGACCTCTCGGTCTGCAATGTGGGTAGGATCACGCATGCAGTGTCGACGCCCTTGGGGGAAAAATGTTCTTAGCAGAACTGGTCACCAAAGTGTGTGTTGTAAGCCCCGCTGCTAATAATGGTCGCGGCTCAGTCTTTGGACAGACTGGACATACTCGGCAGAGAGCTGTAAGTGTTTACTGTTTAATAGTTTCTGTGTCGTGTCCTCTTTAAGAAAAGGAAGTGCCAAACAAGCCCCTGCGTGTCCGAGTCCGGCCCTCAGACGACCGGCTGTCCGTCGCGTGGAAGGCGCCACGCCTGTCTGGAGCCAAGAGTCCACGGAGATCGCGGGGTTTTCTTCTGGGCTACGGGGAAAGTGGCCGGAAGATGAATTATGTCCCGCTGACGAGAGATGAGCGAACGCATGAAATTAAAAAGCTGGGTGAGTTTAACGTTCACTGGCTCTCGGTAATCGGTGATCTTTGTTATCGTGTCGGTGTTTAGAAGCTCGTTCCTGACAGAACATTATATTTTAGTTGTAGCGTTCGGTTTCCAGATATTACAGTTGTTCGAAATTGTACTCTCTGTTCTCTCCTCCGTCTCTGCCTCCACCCTTCCAACCTTCTCTTAGGGGCAGGACAGCGCCACCTTCCAAGTGCCCATCGGCTGCTTCCTGGCCCAAACGGCACCAATTCTTTGAGTTGAGCCATTGTTCTGGACGTGACATTGGGACCAATGCTTTTCCCATCTTGGCGTTCCTGTCGCCATATGGTCTTTAAATTTTGTCTTAGATCCTAGGGCACGGGACCATGGGTCCCCTGGAGAGGAAATGTGGTGGCAGCTGAGGAAAGCCTGCCTTCCTCCCTTTTTCCAAAACCCTTATCCGGTGAAGGAGGCACGGGCCATGGAGGGCCGAGTGAGCATTCGCCGTGACTGGGAGAGATCGCGCGCATCAGTCTGGTCCGGGTCAAGGTCTGACTTTGACAGGCCTGGGCAGTGGACGTAGGCCATGCCCCAAGAGGGCCCACGCTTCTCCTTCTCACTTGGCACGTCCCTGGTGTGGTGACAGCTTTCCTCCCCCTCCCTTCACGCCCTTTGTTTACTTGACTTTGGCAGGAGGCCCTGGGTAAGTGTGGCTCGGCCCCTTCATGTCACCTCCTCCTTGAGGGTGGGGGTGCCGGGCTGCAGAGAGCACACATTCTGCTAGCAATTCTGTGCCCTAAGTCACGCAAGGGCCCGGGGCTGCTGGGCGGCAAACTTGTCCAGTCCTGGCATTCAGGAGTAGGAAATGCACCTGCTCCCATGTTCTCCAGTTTGTACCAGCAATAAGTATGTCGGCCCCCACTGCTTGCTCTGCCTTCCTTTCCTAATTGGAGGCAAGGAAGAGGGTGTGACTTATTGGGCCCTCCTGAAGACTCCAGTGGGATCCAGCAGCCTCTTCACTTGCCTAGTAGTCAGGCGTCACTTGGCTTCTGGAATGCGCACAGTGACAGGCTGGAGATGGAAGGAGGAATGGCTCCAGGCCAGGTAGCAGAGAAGGGCAGGCAGCTGAGGGTCTGTGTGCCGTGGGCGGAGTCACCAGTGAGAAGGCAGAGTGGTCCCCTTGGGCACCTCCTTAGCGGTAAAAGGTAGGGTCTTCTCTCAGACGTGGCGAGGGGCGGGCACACAATAGGCACCGAGTCTGGCGAGACGAGGCGGAGGCACATAGAAGGAGGGGGAGGGACACCCACGAGCTGGAGCTGCGGGGGCCGCGGCGGCCCTGACAGCGGTTTGGAGCTCATCCCGAGGCGAGAGGGCGGTGATGGAAGCAGGTCTGCTGGCGGGAGGAAAGGCTGGCGGGAGGAAAGGCTGGCGGGAGGAAGGCCTGCAGGAGGAAAGGCTGGCGGGAGGAAGGCCTGGCGGGCCCAGCGCCCAGGCGCTCTGCAGGAAGGATCGCTTTGCTGGAAGGTGGGACCACGCAGTCATCGGGAGCCTGTATGAGCCACTCCCGAGTCCCTTGGGACTCGCCAGGCCAGCTCCCTGGGCTGCGTGGTGGGCACTGACCTGGTGGAGACACTGAGCGGCAGGCCAGGCTGAAGTCCCTCCCTGAAATAGCCTCAGAAGTCACTGTTCCATCAGCCACCTGCTGATGACTCTTGGAAGAGCCTGTTGAGTGTTCATTCGGCATCAGCAAGTGTTTCATTCGACCGCCCCTATCTTTTCAGTTTGTCAGTGCTGAGCCCCTGGCTCACCTGAGGATAGCAGAAGCAATTATTTTTCTTCTGCCTGAACTTGAGCAAATGTTGGAACTGAGGTCAGGGCAGGCTCTGGTCCCAGCCCAGATGGATAGCACAGGCCTCCTGGGCTTCCACTACAATGCGTTGGCTTCTGAATTTTCACCAAATAAGCATTGAACTTGCCGTGGCAAAGGATCTAAGAGGTTACCACGTGGGGGAGGAGGTCTCCCTGGAAACGCTCCATCAAAGCGGGGACGATGGTGTGAAGCAGATTCCCAGGGGATGGCAGAGTGGGCCTGTCCCCATATTTTATCTGGCGTAAGATTTTAATTTTATTTATAACAGAGATGCCATTGAAAGTGGGGTTCTGTGGAGAAAGGTCATACATTAAATAAACATGGAGAAAAGAGTCTTATCGGGTGTCTTCAGTGTCAGGTGCCACCCTAGCAGTCCCTCACAGAGAGACAATAAACAGAGTGAGCAGAGGGTCAAGGGTTAAGGGAGGGTTGAGGGAGGCCCTCGGGGAGCGGGGGGTCGTGGGAGGGGAGAGGAGAGGGAGAGAGGGCCCTAGGAGCCAAGGTGGAGCGGGGCGGAAATACGGAACAAGCAGGCTCAAGTTCAAAGTCCTTCGGAAGTGACGATGGACCTTCGGAAGTTCAGACACTCGGAGTTTTTGCTGCGTCACGCACGTGAGGTGCACCGGGGGTGTTGCTGGGATCACCGGTGTCACTGGGCTGGTGACGCTGGGGTCAACTGAAAATTTTATACCCACCCTTTATTCAGTAATCGAGAGCATAGAAAAAGGTGTGTCCTTTATTCTGTTTCTATGAAAAAGAGGTGGGCCGCGGTTTATCCGGCCGTCGGGCACTTCCTGGGCCCCGGAGCATGTGCTCGGTGAGCTCTGGGCTCTGGTCCCTCACCACCTGCAGTGTTGAGACCCTGGGGTTTGGAGCCACGCAGACCTGCCACTTCCCCTATGACCTTGGCTGGGTCTTCTCACCCCTCTGAGCCTGTTGCCTCACCTGGGAAGAGGAGACATGTGGGCAGCTCCCTCACAGGGCTTTTGTCAGGACTGAATGAAGCACCGACGTGAACGTCACACAGCGAGGAGGCCTGACCCGCCCACGGGAGCTGTCAGTGCAGTTTCCTGTGGCACAGAACTTGTCCTTCATCATCATCTCGGGCCCAGTTTAGTTCGGAGGGCTCAGCAAATCAAGAATCTGGGCATAAAAAGAACCTAACAACTGTAAGAGATCCATTGCAAATATGTAAAAATGTCAGTTGTGGGCAATCATGCATTTCTTGGTGGTTCTTGATAAACGTTGGGCCACCATTTTTTCTCCGTGTTCCTGGGTTCTGAGGCTGGACAGTGGTGTTTTCCCGGGCTGGCTTTAGGCGTGTCCCCATGGCCAGCAGCGCCAGGAGTGAGCTGATCTGAAGGGGCCCCTCTGTTTGGAAGGTGAGCTTCATGCTCTGTGAGTCCCAGTGTTACAGACTCGACTCCTCTCCTTTCAAAATCGGCTGGTAGAGAGAGATGTGAGCGCCTTAGCCGAAATAATTTTCTCATGTCACAGCGTGAGTGTCACCTGCCCTCTCTGTTGAGAGAGCAGGTGGTCAGATAGGCTCCCTTTCCCTGGAAATCTGATTAGTCCAGAGACATGTACATAAACAGGGTCTCTCTGTGAGGTGTTTGAACATGCGTCTCCTTGGACATGCTGTTCTAAAAATGAAAGGTTTATCTTCCCGACGCCACATGAAAGTTTGAAATTCCTGGAAGAAGGACTCCCACATGAGAAGGTTCCCTTAGGGCATTAGTGTCCCCTCTTGTTGATTTACTGAGGTTTTACCTGATGACATAAGTATCTGCCTTAGAAATTCGAGGACCGCTCATTTGTATCCTTGCATTGATTCAGGCCGCTGCAGGAAGCTTGACCAGTAGGGCCTGGAGCCAGGCGTTAGCAACCGTGGATTCAGTGAAGATTATGAGTCCTTAGCAGTGTGATTCGGGGCAAGTCAGTCCATTTTTATGGCTTTATGTCTATTTGTTAAATAAGAAGGTCGAATTGGAGGATAAGCAAGGTTTCACCTGGGTCTCAGAATCTGCGATTCCATAGTACTCGAGAGGTATACGTTTTGTTTCATCCTTGTAATGTTTTTGAAAAATAAAGTTTTCGAGCTTAGGTTAAGTTAGATTCTAGTGGGTCCAATGTACAATTTGAGGTGGGGTGGAGTGGGGAGAACTGACTGAAAGAACAATCCAGAAATAAAGGATGCGTTGAAACTCTTCCATTTGCTCTAGCACATCTTCAGAGCCTCCGTTTTGAGGATGTGGGTGAGATTCTGATTTCGAAGGGCGCACATCCCCCCGGGGCTGCTGACCTGGCACACTGGCTGTTCCAGTCCCCTCGCCCTTCTTTTTGATGACAGATAAGAACAGAGGTCTCCCTCTTTTTTATTTCGGAAGTAAAAAGAAATTGAGGGAATTACGTGGGTAAATGTGCCATTCTTTTCTTTTTTGAACATCGTTCATCTCTCTTTGATGGTGATAAGCTAGAAACCCATTTTTCGAGAATTCTAGATGAAATTCGCCTCCACGTTTCCTAACATCGTAGTGTCCTTGAATACAGTTCCTGACGTGCTCGGTGTCATCTTTAGCTGTCCTGAAGAGGGGGAATGCGCCGGGGAGAGGATGTGGGAAGCCGGGGAGGGGGAGGAGGGCGCGCGCGGGCAGAGGGAGGCCTGGGAAAACCAATCGCGGAGGCTCATCACTTGCTCCTTGACCCACAGCCTCCGAGTCAGTGTACGTGGTCTCCCTGCAGTCCTTGAACTCGCGAGGGCGCAGCCAGCCAGTGTACAGGGCCGCCCTGACCAAGCGGAAAGTTTCAGGTATGTGTCTGAGGAGGCAGCCGGTCAGCCAGGATTAGCACGAATGCAGCATCGCTGCCGGACGATGCCGCCCGAGTGACGGATCCCATGGATTTTCTTGGGCGTAAAGGAAACGTCAGGGAGAGACTGGGTCACGTTTGGGATACAAGTGTGATTCTTTTCTACTCAGAGGCTGGAGTGTTCTGGTGATGAAGTGTATTTCTCTGTATATGTTGAATGTCTTCACTGTGCAATAGATTTTGCCAGGATAAGAGCAGCCAAGCATTTGTTTCATTCAGAGGCACAGACTGATCCACACAGAAACTGCTCCTGGTGATAAACTGTGAGGAGAGGGAGAGAGAGAGAGAGAGAGAGAGAGAGAGAGAGAGAGAGAGAGAGAGAGAGAGAGAGAGAGAGAGAGAGAGAGAGAGAGAGAGAGAGAGACAGAGAGAGGTGTAGATGGGGTGGAGTGTGAGATAACGCACTCCAACTTTATTTCAGCTAAAATTGCGTAAAAATGGCATTGAGAGAAAAGACGTGTAGTGACCCGCTGATAGCCTGATCCCTGGTCACGTACTGCGGAATATTTTTTTCCACATCCATCCACCAATAATCCACTAATGATTTTTATATTACTCATATATTTACAAATTACATATACCTTTTCTGGATCATGAGCCTCATTTAAAGAGGTAACCTGTAGCATAGTTATTTTCATGAATTCATAATTTATTTGTAGCTATAATTTTATATTACATAATATAGTATATTATATAACATGTTGTTATCTCATATTAACTATTATAATTTTTACATTGTATAACAGAAGTCCCACATACATGATGTTTCTCTTTTATTATTCACTAACAGCTGCCCTAGAAATCCTGTATTACTTTTCTAACAGGCTAAATATTTCCACCTTCTCCTACTTGTAGCAAAAGCTGCAAAAATGATCCCCGAAAGGTGGAAAAAAAAACAAAAAAGAAATAAACAACAAAAAACACCCCCCAAAAGCCCAAGAGACTCAAAAGCAAAACTGAAGACATCTTGAGAGTCTCGGTTTACATTAGAGATGAAACAAAAACTGTAAGCTTTGGAACTGTGATGTATTCTTTTGGAAATGGGCAAGCTGAATTCTGTTTTGTGTCAGAATATAAATTCTAATCTGTCTTGGAATCACATGCTCTAAGATGTGAGGACATTGAGCCCTAGATGATTTGTGTAGTCTGTTTGAACTAGAATTTTCCTTTCATGCTACAACTTGAGCTTTTCTTCCCTAAACTTTTGCTTCCCATAAAAATTGTATTATTTCCCAGAAACTTACAGTGTATATTGAGAAAACACGGAATCACTTGGACTATCTTTGACCAAGGCAAAGCATCCCTTTTGTACTGTTCTTTATGTCAACTGGGTCGGGCAGCTTTTCAAGTGAACTGCTGATTTCTTAGTGTTTAAGAAAGGCAAGCGTAGGGGTGAAGGGTTAAAGAAGTACAAATTAGTGGTGGATGGATGGTCACGGGGATGGGAGCACGGCACAGGGAATGAGGTCCGTAGTAGTAGAATGGCTGGGTGGAGAGCCAGAGGAGAGAGAGAACGATCGGCGGATCGTTACATAAACTATATAAATGTCTAACCAATGTACTTTATACTTGAAACTAATAATAAAATAAAATTTAAAAAAAAAAAAAGGAAAGGCAAGAGTGGAGATTCTTGTTTTTGTATATTGACTAATTAAATAATTGCTTAGCTCTCTATACATTTCATTTTATCTACATTAAGCATAAGCAATTTGAAAACTGTACGGTGTGAATAAACAACTCCGGGGGCCTGAGGGAGGGGCCTGTTGTTAGAGGCGGCCTGTCCATGCGTCCCATTGTCATTTCAGAAGAGGACGAGCTGGATTTACCCGAAGACATCAATGTCCGGGTCATGTCGTCTCAGTCAGTGCTCGTAGCCTGGCTGGACCCTGTTTTGGAAAAACAGAAGAAAGCAGTCGCATCGAGGTACTTTTCCTTCTTTCTTTGTCTTTCTTCCATGTATGAGAAATGGGATTTTTCTGGCCCTGAGAAGGCACGTCTTTATCTGAGTGGCCTTATTTTCTGACACACACGAAGGCTGGCCTCCCCGGCAGCTAGCAGTAGGCTGCCCCGCGGCAGGCAGGCTGACGCTGGGCGTGATCCGATGCTACGAGGGCCCCGTGTGCAGTGCACACCGTGGACCTCACTTCTCACTTGCTCAGTCTTACTCTGCATCTGGAAATGTCCTAGATCCCCTCCTTTAGGTGCCCGCCTTTGTCTTGGCTTTGCCTCCTCACTGCTCGGCTCATGTGCAGTGGGTCCGGGCCCGTCTGAGAGGGCGCCTGACCCTTCCGTCCGTTGTCCAGGACGCCTGGCCCTATGAAGGGTCTTGTGGTGGGCATTTTTCCAGTGCCTTGCACATAGCAGTTCCTCTTCAGACGCCACGTTGCTTCACGTCTAGCTCGTTTGTGCAAGACAAAATGAATCGTATTTTTTCTTCAGCCCTGACGTTACACTATTCTGGTTTTTATACTGCTTTGCAATAGCAATAGAAGAATAGCCCATCATAAGGTTAAAATAATTTTTGTAGTTAAAAGGCCACTGGTGAACACCATTTCTAAGTAGTGGTAGATTAATATCGTCATCAAAATTTTATGTGTTAAATGACTGACTAGTTTCTATAGACAAGTGACAGCCAAAGATTTGGTGGCTTAATCATTATGTATTCATTTTGAACCTATCTGCAACCAGGAAAAGTACATGTACTTTAAAAAAATGAATGGAAGATAATGCTGAGAACATATGTGTATGTACACATACACACACACACACACACATTTGATTAGACAGAGTTTCTGTCACTGCCTGCTAGTAACATAAGCCATCTGCTTCTTTTGAAAGACCTCAGAAGGTTCATAGTGATTCTCTGGCCTGATTACCAGTGGACTCTGATTTCCGACGTCTTGATGAAAACAAAGGGAGGCTTGAGTTTTCTTAGCAGGACTCTTGTGTTAATTGGTTTGCCATGTCTGCAACGGAAGTCTTATCTGACTTACTAAGTGTCATAATGAACAGCACATTTTTAACGCACCGAATGCTTTCTACTGCAGAGTGTCCACAGAGATGATTTCTTGGGAAAGAAATCCAGTAAATGGCATCTGCGCACTCAGAGTGTTGTAGATGTCCTCTCTCTGGGCTTATGAAATGTCACCCTGTTTGGTCACACTGTGTTTACCTCCTTGATAATCACCCACGAGAGTTCTTTCCATCAGTTCCTTTATCCTGCTCTGTTATACATTTTTGCTCCTTCTGGGGTGAGTCTTCTCTAAACCACATGCTGCCTTCCCCTTGAACCTACGGAAAACATGCCTGATTTGGCACAAAATGAGTCTTTTTGTCTTTCTTTTCTGGAAAGCCAAGCTCCCTGGGCCAGTCCCGAATCTTAACCTTGCCCATTTGGCACCATGCACACCACAAACGTACACTCGGACGCACACGCATCCCGATGAGGCACTTCCCTTCCCCCTCCCCGCTTCCAAATCTCTACTTCAGCTTTTGAGCAGTGAGACTTTTTTGCTCTTGAAAGGACCCTAAGCTCCATCCATCTTTCCGGGCCTGCTTTAGACGCCTTTGCCTGGAACTTAAGTAGATTCTTTGAGCCAATGAGTCAAAAGTGTAGATTTTTCACCTCGGGGGAAGGAAAAATATCAAAGAATCCAGTGTTTGGCTGCAGAGAACGTGGACGTGTTGATGCCCTCTGTTTTCTTACAGACAGTACACTGTTCGCTACCGAGAGAAGGGGGAATTGGCCAGGTGGGATTACAAGCAGATCTCCCACAGGCGCGTGCTGATCGAGAACCTGATCCCGGACACCATGTATGAGTTTGCAGTGCGTATTTCACAGGGGGAAAGAGACGGCAAATGGAGTACGTCTGTCTTCCAAAGAACACCGGAGTCCGGTCTGTATTTAAAGTGGCCTTTGGATTTTCAGTTGGGGAGTACCCCTAAAATGAGATTTAAAGATACTTTAAGAAGGCAATAGTGATAAAGGCCAACAGAGGCATTTTTTTTTTTTAAAGTAACGTTAACCCTAAATCTTGGCAGTGTGTCTATGTATAAACACGGAGACGTTGAGGAGCTAGTTCCCTGGGTCTGTGTTTTATCCTTCACGAGCCGTTCGATTCGCATGTTTTCCTGACACATGGAGCACATTAAATCCCCGTGTGGAGCATCCGTGAATCACCCCTGCATGTGGGAATGTCCCCGGAGCGTTCCACGGCTGGCTCGGGAATATGGGAGAGACCCCGCTTGCCTTAGGCTGGGGTTGCGTTTGATTCCAGGGGAGAATCGTGCTCCATCTCCAAGGTTCCAATTATTTCCTTTTAGACTATGTTTATAAAAGCTTTATTAAAAAACCAATTTTCATCTTCTTGTATATTTTAATATTCGGTGATGAAAGAGATTCTGGATTCTTCAAAGCATGTCTCTAGATATGTCTAAGCTCACGATGTGAGTCGGTGGAACCGATATAAATCACCGGTACACACGAGCAAGTGTCAACTTTCCTCTCGTACGGAATAAAAATGAACACTGTGTACGCGAAGACTGCATGTCATTTGCTTTTAGGATATCCAGGAGGATATTTTTAAACCTTGGATTCTTGTCCTTTTGTAGCTCCTACTACAGCGCCTGAAAACTTAAATGTCTGGCCAGTCAATGGCAAAACTACAGCTGTCACTGTAGCTTGGGACGCATTGCCCGAGACGGAGGGGAAGGTGAAAGGTAGGAACCTCAATACTTAACCTGTAGGGTGGGCGTGGGCGTGAAGTCCCCAGACAGAGGCACGTCCATTGACTCGAATCCAATCGCAGAACCGTTGGCTTGGTTCTAATTGCAGGCCCGATGACTGTACAAGAAATAGGGAACCAACATACGTATATGAGGCCCTAATGCAGCAGGCTGGGTCGCTTCCCGCAGGGTGTAGGTTGTCGGTAAAATCCAGGTGGATATGAAGATGACTTCACCTTCCCTGTACACAGGGATTTGGCTGCTTGTGATCAGGAGGGTGTTTTTAACGGTATGGGTGTGACACCCTAACCCTTTCATTGTGCCAGTGAGTCACAGAAAGGAGGAATGAGCGGGAACCCCGTGAGACCACGTATGTCTTGAGTGGGACCGTAACTATTTTTCATGGGTTTGAAAGCTCAAGTAATAAAAAAAGAATCAAATGGAAAATAGATTTTTTTTTCTATTCGTCAGCCTTTTTAATTAATTATTTTGGGGGCGGTTGAGGAAAATATGACCTTAAATTTTTTTTTTTTAGAAAAAGTACTGTAGATTTAAAAAATAAAACATTCATAAATCATTAAATTTAAAAATAGTCTGTTGAGAATTCTACATAAAAGCATGAATCTTTTTTTTTATGTAAAAACATTCAGGAACCTTTCAGAAGCCTGTTGAAGACATTTTAAAGGGACACGTTGAGGTTTTCTTGACATCCTTTATACAGATGTACCCTGAGTGTGCTTTTTCTTGTGCCTCCATTTTGGAAGACAGAAACCATGAAACTTAATGTCCAGGAACTCTGAAAACTTTGTGTGAGCTTAAATAGATCCAGAAAAATTACCGCTCGTCTCTGAGAATTTCTCAGTGGAAAAAAATGAGTGGTTCTCTTTCATAGTCCCCTGTCAGTTATCCTTGCTGACGTGAATGGGTGTCTTTTAATGGGACAGTAGAAAGAAGGTAGACATGAGAAAGTCTTTTCTGGACGTAAGTGCTTTCTCGCTTCCCAGTTTTTTAAAAAATATATATTGTATGATTCTTGCTCATGAATGAAGAGAAGAAGTATTAAGTTGGCCCCTTTTAATCATTCTTTTTATGACAACATTCTTTTTATGAAACATTGGCTCCTGTATTAATTATTGCTGTGATGCTCCAAAGGCTTCTGAAAATTGAATAAAGACATTTTTTGGCTATTTCCTTTTTTTCTTTTTTTTTTTTTTTAGTTAAAAAAAAAGTCAATTATTGCTCCATCAGTGTCTTTATTATTAGGCTACTTATTTTCTTTCCATCTCCCATATCTTGGTTGATATTTATATCTCTTTGGTTAAAGAAGCTGCCTGGTAGTCAGTTCGATATTGCCAGAAATAATAATAGCTGCTGAGTTTTTATATCCAAAAGAACTCACAGATCTAAAACAAGCTTCAGGTAGTTTTCATAAAGGTGCAGTGGCGGGATCGGAATTTCTTACTTACGCAGGGGCAATTTTTTTATGTATGAGAAATAGAAAACACAATAGAAGAATATACTTTGACACGGTTAAATTCTTTCCAGATGAATTGAATCCATAAAAAATCTGAATTACAAAATTTTATAGACAGTGCATTCTTTTACTTCTGACTTTGACCACCACAAATGACTAGTTTGTTCATTTTCGAGGGGAAAAGAATGTTTTTTTTTCCCCCTGACAAATGCTTCAAAAGCATTTTTGGTTGAAAGTTTTAAAAATAACGTAGTTTTTAAAGATTAGATCTTAGGTAAAAGGAAAGCCCTTCCATGCTTCCCCTAGGAAGTATGAAAACTGCTTGGTTTCTGTAATTCAAATTATTTTTCTTGGTTAGCTCCTAGTCATATTAATTCGATACGTTTTATAAATCTTGAGTTCATTGGAAGGAAAAGAGGCATGACGGTTTTTTGCTGAGGGTGAAAATTGGGCTTTAAAGCATAGCTTCCTTATGTTACAGTAGTTACGTATAAGCAGAGATATATTAGATCTTTGGACTGAATTTGCCATGATTTTCGATCAAGGGCATTAGATGTGTCTAGATATAGTCAATTGAAGATGGAGACATTAGATACTGCATAAATCTATTACTTTGCAGCTTTTCTTCACAGTTTTAAATACTGCGAAATAGCCTTATCCGCAATTATTAAGAATTTTTATACAAAAGTATTCCAAATATGGAATTTAATTGGCTTAATGTGCCACTCAAAATAGCACAGATTAGCAAACTAGAACTCTTGAAGATGTCAGCTATTCAGAATCAGTTCCTAGTAGCTGTCGTTTATTTTTCCATGGTTTTTTCTATTTGAGATACGTTAATTCTGTCAGAGTACATTAGTACATAATATAGTAAAGAAAAACACCAAACCCAGTGTAAATATCTTTGGTCAATTGTATGGAGACTGACCTCTTGGGTTCCACGTTGTATTTGCTGAGAATGGATGACTGCCAGCTAGTTAACTCTGTGGCCCTGTATGGTGGCCCCGAGTGGATGCCCATCCACCTTCTCCTGTGTCTTTATGCTCCGGCTGCTGACTTGGCGTGCATTGCTAGAGTATTCATCTTAGTAATGCACGTTCTAATTCATCCTGCCCATACAGTCTGTCTGCTGGACACAGGACTGTTTTCAGTTTCCTCCTTCCAACCGTCTGCCAAATCATTTCAGAATACATTCTTTCATACGCCCCGGCTCTCAAGCCATTTGGAGCCAAGTCCCTCACCTATCCTGGAGAGACAACTTCTGCCCTAGTGGATGGTCTGCAGCCTGGCGAACGCTATCTTTTCAAAATCCGGGCCTCAAACCGGAGAGGAATGGGGCCTCACTCCAAAGCCTTCATCGTCGCTATGCCAGCAAGTAAGCATTGTGTGTTTGTGTCTTCTTTCTTTTTTTGCTAATAGTGGTGTGTTACTATGAACCATGGATCTTGGGTTTAGAACTGCTACCGTGGTGATTTTGGGCGTCTAAGTTTGCATACTGATTTCTACAATATTACCATAGTCCCTTAAGAAATCAGCCTCCCCAAAGACTAACATGGTATTGGTCGCCAATAACATCGATTACTATAATATTGTATAGTAATATAATGGTATTGGTCGCCAATAACATCGATTACAATAATCCAATAACATGAATGTGTGAATAATGTGATAAACTTTATGTCCCTGCGTAGTGTGGGGTTTACGGTGGCAGGGAAGAAAACATTTTTACAAGTACGCTGTGACATTTTTAGTTGTTAGCTCTCTTCAATTTCTAAATAGCATTTAAAATGTTTCATTTGTGTTCCATTATTTTGGAGTGCAGCTTCACTCAGAATTTCAGGGACCTCGTTTATCTGATCAGTATCTAACCCAAGCAGGTAAATAAAATCCAAAAATGGGGTGGGGAGTTTTTTGGACTCTGACTTCCTTTCTGCTTCCCCACATTTACCCCAGATATTAGTAGCTCTCCCCTTCGTTACATACTGTGCTGATCCAGAGTATGCTGCAGAATCGGACAGTTCAGTCCCGGAAGAAACGGATAGATGAAGTTCGCTCCTTCTGGGGTGCCCATTGCTATATAGGTTCCCCTTCCTGACAGCAGCCCTCCCCTAATTCAATCCTGCTCACAAGAGAGGATGAACTGTAAGGTGCACTCAATACAATGTTTTGCCTACCTCAGGAGTCTTTATTTTTGGTTTCATTTAAGAATTAGAAATGTAGCCATTATTAAAGAGATTTTAATGGGGTGGAGGGCGGGAAGCAAGTAAAGACATGTTAGGAGGAATAAGAAACTCTTTCTAAGGCCTTGAAAATTACAAATTTGTTGCTAGTTACACACAACACATTTCTATATCTTTACAAGTTTAGGTCATTCAATGTTTTGTACCAGGCTCCTATGTATTTCTTGCATGCGTCGTTAAAAACAGCTAGAATGCATTCCTAACATACTGACAATCTGTTTTATTAAGGAAATCCTATGTGAAATTTTGCTTTTGCAACATCAATGGATTACTTCAAAGTACTCGTTTGGGAATCCCTTTAAATAATAAACTGTGACATAACCTAATTCAATTTATAGAAAGTCAATGTACACGTTTTCTAGAACTATGTCTATTACTTAAAGCAAAATAGAACTTTATGAGATTGCTATAACTGAGAAATAAGGGCCCAATGTTCTAAACAATGAGAAGTTATCAATTATAATTACCAGTTTTAAAAGCCTCCTTACCGCCCCCTTAAATATTCTCTTGGTGTTGCACAACTGTTGAATTTCTTCTTTGACAGCAAATTCTTTAAATTCTGTTCCAGCCAGTACCAGGGA